ACTTCCCATCTCAACCCCACCTTTTGAATTTTCCCTCCTTTTTGCCATTTTTTATCTCAACTAAAAACCTTAATTAATTGAAAGATATTAAGTGTTCAAGCGGACCACGAAACTAGTGAATTTGATGTGTAGAGTTTTCTCTCAATTTGCACGTTTTTAGGTCCCCTGTGCAAAAAAATCGAAATTTTTACACCCCCCCCCCCATAACCAATCTGGATCCGCCATTGGTTTGGCCTGCGTGTTGCAGCATGAATCTTGGATGGTAAAAGACTACACTCACCGTATGTACTGAGATGATGGGTGATGGTCAAGGATTTGCAAACTTTTATCTTCGCTGATTTGGCCTATCATATAATTTTACTATACGCAGTGTATGACCCACTACTGATGCCGTGCAAATCTATCAGCCAAAATGACCAAACCACACAATTGTTTTGGTTTCATTAGGCAGGCCGATTTTAAGCAGGTTTCAAAGCAATTAGTGGACAGGTAAAATTTTTATTTTTGTCTAGGGCACCGTTATACCAATCGTTCATCTGAACTTTGGTCTATGAAAAGATTGGATTTTTCGTAAAATTATGCTATTATAATAGACCACAGTGAAGCCAGATGTGTTATTTATTCGGCTGGCTTCGCAGATTTGATTTCTCATCACGAACTTATGCAGGTTCACTGATGATGTCTCTTCAGTGCCGGTTAAAAAAAGACCCGTTTTAAAAAACCGTCCGGTGCGATTCTTCTAAAAATACACCCTGGCTTCGACCTTGTTTGTAAATATACGGCATATTTGCCAGACCTAAAAAAGCCCTTGGGTTGATAAGATCTCGATAAGACTTGCCCAACTCCAGGCAACTTACCCTCGCCGGGCGTTCTTGGCTAACAATCTTTCGCTCCCGATCAAGGATAAGTTACTTCTGTACGATAACGGGTCAGCAATGGGATTTTGAACATCAATAGTCGAAAATTAACCTCGAAACGATCAAATTAACTACCCAATCCCACAATACTTCACTAATTAATCATTAATATCTTCGGATCCCTAACCATAAGCAAACCTTAAATCTTTGAGCAATTTAGATTTTACTGTCGCCTATTTCGGCCAGTTCGAATGATTTTGCGAGTTATGCTAGCATAAAGCCTTTCCTCTCTAATAAATTATTATTTTAACATCTCAAAGGTCACTTATTCCATGTCTGTTACACGTTTGAATCAGTGATCTATATTCTCCTAGAGACGTAAAATATTGGCAAATGAGAAAGGTTTCTCGATCGCGCAGGAAGGCAGAAACCCACACCGTAAATCAAATGAGAATGAATCCTTGTTTCAATAGAGCACGGCTCCCTCTTCCCTATTTCGTAACAAGTTTATTTTTTGAAACACGGCAATAAACTTGGGTTGTTTAGGCTGCTTTCTTGGTGAAAGTGAATCCATTTTGTAGAACTATAAATAAAAAGGTCAAAATAAAGGTTAAAGTGGCCGGTGTTGAAATAATGAAAAAGAGACAAACTGGAATTTCATCGCCTTGACTGACAACTAGCGACAAGGCACCAACAACGGTAGTTCCGCTGTTTGAATTCATCCGGGTTTAATTTATATCAAAATAATAAAAACCATTAGATTTTAAAAAGTATAATAATAATTATTATTTCAATAGTAATGATACACTGGCCAGAGCAGGGCAACGTCTCCTGAGACGGACCGGTATTATGGCTGGAACCGATTGACGATGCAGAGGAAGTCGGTAGACTCGGTAGCGATCGAAGGGACTCGTGCAGCAGACAGACACGTCGACTGTTGGGAAACGATACTGCGCGTACCCTTTCTACTGTAGCTAGTGCTGACTGCTTGCTCCATTAGTGAGAGTTGAAAACTCGTCGACGAGTCTGAAATAAGCAGGTTGAACGCTACTTATATATAAAGCTGCCAATGAGCTTGCAGCGTGGAAGACAAGACCATTGTTGAACCGTGGACCAAACGAGTGGATAACTTTTAACCGCAAGTGGTTACCACATCCTACCCAAAATTGTTGAGCTTTTCAAGGAAGAAGAGTGGCGTGAGCTTGGTAGCGAGCGAATGGACTTATGCAGCAAGCAGCCACTTTGGCTGTTGAGATTGCGAGAGACGTTGCTGCGCGTACCCTTTCTACTGTGGCCAGTGCTGACTGCTTGCTCCATTAGTGAGAGTTGAGACTCGTCGAAGTGTCTGAAATAAGCAGTTTGAGTCCCTGCTTATATTCAGATCTGTTGCAAGCTCATTGGATGGATCATGGAAGACGAGACCATTGTTGGACCGTGGAGAAAACTAATGGCTAACTTTTAACCGCAAGTGGTTACCACATCCTACCCAAAATTGTTGTGCTTTCCAAGGATGAAGAGTGGCGTGAGACTTGGTAGCGAGCAAATAGACTTATGCAGCAGGCAGCCACTTTGGCTGTTGAGAATGCGAGAGACGATGCTGCGCGTACCCTTTCTACTGTAGCCCGTGCTGACTGCTTGCTACGTTAGTGAGAGTTGAGACTCGTCGAAGTGTCTGAAATAAGCAGGTTGAGACCCTGCTTAAATTCAGAGCTGCTACAAGCTCATTGGATGTATCTTGGAAGACGAGACCATTGTTGGACCGTGGAGGAAACTAATGGATAACTTTTAACCGCAAGTGGTCACCACATCCCACCTCAAATTCTAAGCATCAGACCAAGGATGAAAAATGACGTGAGAGTCGGTAGCAAGCGAAGGGACTTAAGCAGCTGGCAGCCACATTGGCTGTTGAGAATGCGAGAGACGATGCTGCGCGTACCCTTTCTACTGTAGCCAGTGCTGACTGCTTGCTCCATTAGTGAGAGTTGAGAACTCGTCGAAAAGACTGAAATAAGCAGGTTGACCCTGCTTATATTCAGAGCTGCTGCAAGCTCATTGGATGAATCATGGAAGGCGAGACCAGTGGTGACTACTAGGGGATAAATTGTTAACTATAGGTAGTCACTACAGTCTTTGATTATTCTTTGTGCAATCCGGTTCACCCTTCACCCTTCTTAGCTAGTTCATCAGCTTATACCAGACCAATCAGGTCGCAGTGGCCAGGACCCATTGGAACACGGCTCAGTTTCCTTTAGTAAAGAGAGAGGTCACTTATTAGTCTTTACCTCTTCAGAGACGATGACCAGACTGCTGCTTGCTAATAGCAGCTAAAACAGCACTCTATGAGACCACCAGTACTTGTTGGCCTTGGTGAGGTTCCTTAATTACTTTAAGGCTAATGGAATGGTAATAATCATCAAAGTTGGACTTGCATTGCAGAGGGTTTGAAATCGTGCTAATACACCCTGATTGACTGAGTAGAAAGTACACACATAGCCAGTCTTGGGTACTGCTCGTTAATTTCCCTCAATTCCCAGTCTGGCATTGTTACCTTACTTCATGTAGCAAGTTAGCAAGTTCAATTGTGCCACTGTTTCATGCAACAGGCCTGAGACCTTAATTGGCTGTCTGTTGACTAGTTGAATATTGCAGTATAAAGCCAGGTAGTTTCTTCCATCCTCCAATAATCCACATTCATACTTTTGGCTCATATAAGTTAAACCCGCTTTTTACCTTCTGAGTTCAAAGTGCTCAACCTCCATTGCCAGAATAGGCATTGCTTTATTCTGCAATGCCCAAAGGTTTTAGGGTGTAATTGAATGCAGAAACAACAACTTCCTGTCCATATTCCAGAGTTGGTCTTTCATAATTGTGTTTTGTAGGTAGTAGTAGAAGTCGCTCTCCACCAGGTGTCCACTAATTGCTTGAGGAAGTTCTTCTTGCTTTTCAATGTAATGATGGTGATAAGGGAATGGTGATATAGGAAGCAGGAAGTTTTATATTCCCCAAGCACCGTCTGAGCTTATTGTGTTTTCCTTGATCCTTAGTGCAGTTCAATGAACGCGATCCTTTTAAGAAGCAGTAGGTTATTGACTGTCATTGCTTAATTCTTTTCCTTGGGTCTTCTTGGTACCCTTGGTCTCCATTGAGCTGTTGCTTTACATTTGAAGATTGTTACTTCCTCCTCACTACATAACCTACAAATGGGGTCATTATTGAATTTGACCATATTACAGGTGCTTTCTCAGATGTCCACCGGTAGCTGTGACACTCCCCTCAGTTTGACCCTTTCTAACTGTAACAATGTCTTTGGCAGTTTTAAGGGTTTTTAATCATAAGTTCACTACGTCTGTACTGCTAGAGTATGTCCGTCCTTTTGTTTTGTGTCAACCTTTCAAAAAGGAGGTCTGCAATTTATTTTCTCGGGTCATCTTGGTACTATGGCTTATGTCCCCATGAAGCGATTAAGACAATATAAGTGGAAGTTTCTTCCACCTAGAAATGGGGTAGACTAAACCTTTATGGTGTAGGTATTATCTCAGATGCGTCACCTATGGCCCTGTCACTCTGAGTTTTACCCTACCTAACTGTAGCAATATGTTTGTCAATTTTGGTACAGGTTATTTAATCATGAGTTTACTGAGCTTGGCACCTCTGGAGGTCTTTTTTTGTAGACCCATTCTGACATGGACGCGTCTGTAGTTGATCATATTACCCCAAGGTTCTGGGCTTATGATCCTGCAGATCCTTCACTAGCTAATTTGTCTGCTTGTTCATTACCAAGAACTCCTTTGGGACCTTTTTACATCGTTGAACAGCCAAACATTGATAGCATGTATGTCAGCTTAAAAGGCCAAGAGACACATCTAGATGCATTGCTGATTTGGTGCGGAGCAGAATGTTGTCCTTATATTTGAGGACAATAGCTCTGTCTTTTGAGGATTGACTTCTTTTGTCCTTAACCCATTGCTAGAGCATACTAACATGTAAATCAATCATCATAATCATCTATTTAAACAATAATTATTGACAAGAAGCAAAATATTTTTCAAAAGTAATTAAACTGAATACACTACTAATAATAATGTTATGATTCATAAGCTTTGTCACAGTGGTTCCTAAAAATTAAAATAACCTGGCTTTCAGGTGCTTCACCAACAGTTAGAGATCATGGAAGAGGTCTGAGGGCAGAGGAGTGGGCGAGGTACTGTGGGAGGTATAGCTGCGCTGAGATGATCGAAAGGCACAGCAGGAGTAAGCTGCTTGAGAAAGGCACCAGCAGCGGTAGATGGGGAAGCGATCCTTCTCTAGGCCCGCAGGTACGTCACACTACCATAATATAACCGAATATATTTCAACCTTGTGTCATCTCAGGTGATCGGAGGAGTATTGTTCCCACCGTCTACACTGCCACCGGTGACAACAGGCAGAGGGCTCGCGTCAAAGCTGAAGAAGGTCCTCAGGCCCAAGACCCAGAGCTACAACCTGGTGACACACATCACTTCCGCAGCGTTCTGTGCCTCGACCCCAGCCCTTCCGGCGCCCGCCAAAGTACCTCCGATTGTCAAAACTCTCATCAGGCCTCTGACTGTACCGAAACTCCAAGTGACTTCTCCAAACGATATCCACTCATATACAGAACTCAAACCAAAAAAGTAATACACAATTTTTAACATCCTAGAAGCATATTATTTAAAGACATTTATAAGCGAAGCCTTGATTTTTGTTAAATTGTTCTATGGATCATTAAACAGATATATCCTACTATATAACTTCAAACAGAATTATTTAATGTATATAATTATTCTATTGTGAGCTTTCTTATTAATGAATAACCCGAAAAAACTGTGATTTATAACTGTAGAAAAAAATTAAATTCTAACAATAGAGAGAAAAAATTTAAATATTTATAGAAATTTTTATATTGGTTATTTTGAAAAATTTTAATCTAAAAACAGGCATAAAAATTAAAATGAAGAACATCAATATGACAAGGCTGAAATGAGCATTTATAAAATGTATCACTTGTTATTCAATTATATGTTTAAAATAATTACATTTATCGCATAAAACAGTTTATAGGGTACAAACAAAATGGTACTTTTCCCTGAATAAAAACAACAATTACGTTGGTGAAAAACATCTCCTAGAAAGTATTATATCACTTGTAAATACAGCAGACTCTCATTATCTACTTGGGATATGTACCAAGCATCACCGAGGATAACGAAAATCATGAATAATGGGAAACACTTTGAATTTCGGGCTTTGAAGAAATTTTTTTCTATCTGCATATCAATCACTTTCTGTATCGCGTGACTGTCGTCAATGCGATGTATGAACTTATGCATTCATATTTCAAGGGTTTTTTTTTCCAAAAAAAAAAAAAACCAATGTAAGGTATATGTCATGCAGGAAAACAATAGAAGATAATAATAACAATAACACCTCCCTTCTAAGCAAAATATATTACGCCCTAATACAATCACAAATTCAATACGCCTTGGTATGCTGAGGGGTGCATATTAAAATGCAAAAAAAACTTATACAGAAAAAAAATTCATGCTTTTTAAATATAAATTGGAACACTCTGCCACTCTTCTTCAAATACCACATTTTGCCTTTAACAAAATGAGAGGTTGTTTTTTAACAAAGGCGGAAATTATATCGACAAATATAAAAATAATTAAATATGATATGAGATGTCCTATGAATATCGTGTTGCCCTAACCAAAATTAAATTATGTTGAATTTTTTTTCGCTATGTAGGCCCTAAGTGGTTCCATACGGTTCCTAATAAGATCAAATGTGAAGTAAATTTCAAAACATATTCTAAAAAAGTCAAGAGTTGGCTATTTGAGTATGTAGTTAAAAACAAAAATTAATGCCTACTATTTAAAAATGAAAATTCTTTGTTTTCTTCATATTTGTTTATTCTATTCTTACAAGTTGTAACTATTATTATTACTTTTTTTTGTATCTCTATGATTAATAATGTTATGATCCCCATTTACTAGTTTTTCCCTCAACATTTATTTATTTTATTTATTTTTATTTATTCTTGTTCTTTTGTGGTGAAACTACCACAAATTAATTATTTTTATATTTGTCGATAAATTTCCACCTTGATTAAACTACCACTATCAAAGATTGAACATCAATAAAACCTTTAGATCAAATTGTTCATTAGTTTATTTGATGTTTATTTAATTAAATTAATCTAATAAAATTATTAAAAAATGCAATATAAATAAAAGAAAATAAATTTAATTTATTTATTAAAATAAACATTTGGGGAACTAAAGGCATTATTGATATTCAGCCTTTGATTAATTTTATCTATTTTTGTTGTATTATGTATTAGAGTAATAAGTTGGTGAAAAAAATAGGTATGCACGACATCGAAACAAATAAAAAAAAAAAAAATGTCAGGGACTGAAAAATGATAAAACTCAACTAAGGGGGTAACCGCGGATGACTGAAAGTGCGAATAATGAAAGCATGGATAACGAGAGTTTAGTCAACGTTTTGCTGGGGAATAGTGCGGGTAAAGCAAATAATCTATCATTATTCATTTCTTAAAAAAATATGTGAAATAATTGTAAAATATTTTTCTATATAGCTCCAATTTATGCAGATAAAAAATTAAACTTAATAAATATTTAATGATATATCTTGTATCACTTTTCTTTTGCTTTTTTGTTTTTAAAACAACTTTGTAACGCTACTGAAATAAGGATTGGAGCAAACCTTAAAAATATGTTTAAATAATGAAACTTGATTTCCGCATGATTTCTCCCAAATAAACCGTATTATTTATGTACTTATTTCTTGGATGTTTTGGAATCGGTTTTGAGGTCTTTTTTCTCCAGAAAATTGAATTGTTTCCTCTTGTTCGAACTTTGAACCATGCTGTCTTTTCCAAGAACTTTTATTTGATTAACACATTGTAAATTAATCAGCCCAATAAATTTGGTTTCTGAGGAAGACCGCATATTTCAAATAAAATAATAAAAAACTTGAACAAGTGGAAACAACAGATTATTTTTCTGGAGAAAATGAACATCAACCCCAATCCGACTGCATCTAAGAAATTGATTTATCGAATTTTAATAAAAATTTTCACAATGATATATATTTATTTTCTACTATATTATTTATCAAATACAGAAGTGGGGGTCAGTGTGATGCAGTTGCAGCATTAAAATCTTTGATCCAAATGTATCTCTTGATTAAAATTTTGTAAAAAATCGCTGAAGAAAATCCCCTATATTTGCTATTTATTGTATTATTATTAGCATAAGTAGATACTAATTTTTTAATATTGTTTTAATTTTTCTTAAACATCTGATCCTTTATTATTGTTTATTTATTTTTTTTAAGTTGTACTTGATTACAAATATTCTTCCTTGTTCATCCTTTTTTGTATATTTTAAATGATTCATTATTTTCCTCGTAAAGTAATATAATACTTTCTATCACAGGGGAGAATTTAAAAATTTTAAGACAGTTTTGGGCTTTTTGAAATGGCCTGTAAAAAAAAAAGTTGTGATTCAAAAATCCATATTTTGTACCAGTTTTTAAAATATTTCTCAAGCTTTGGTTGTGAGCAATTGGCAAATTTTATAATAAACAAATTTACATATATTTTAATTTATTAAATTTATTTTTATGTTGTATTGAAAACACTTTATTAATTACTTCTAGTTGTTCTTTAAAATTAAAAAAAACAAATCTTTACGTCATTCTTTATTATATTGTCAAACATAAAATTTTTGACAATTATGTCTTCCATGAAGAAAAATTGCTTCAGAACAAAATCTTTAGGTTAGCCAAACAAAGTAGAAAAAAAAGACTTGTATTATCTATATATATTATATTATAATTACCGGACAGGGTACAAATCACTTCTTGAAACTTGAATCTTAAAAGAAAAAAAATGTTAAAGCTAAACTTTTCATTTCCTATTTAAATCGCTTCTGTGACATGACAATTAACAAAAAATTAATGCCTAATCCCATTATAAAAGTGGTTAAGGGACCGTCAAATTATGATATTTATCTTGTTAAATGTTTAAGGATCCATTTTTTTTCTTTGAGCCTTTTTCTCTGTAAAAGGTGATTTTTATGTTACGTAACTTGAATTTTTATATACATGTTATTGGTCAAAATAAGAATCGAAGCTAAATTTATATAATTACTACCTAATTATAAGTTGTTCGAAATGTTGTATTTTTATTATTTCCTTAATCAATCCTTGACCCGTTTTTCATGTTTACCAAATCTGTAATACACCGAGTCTGTCTACACTCATGGGTTTTTGATTGGCTGACATTTAGGCTTTGTGACATTTTTAATGAGGAACGAGTAACATTACGAGTGTAGACAAATCCAGTTTTGATTCAATATCTGTTCACTGACGCACAGACCAATTCCCACCGTAAACGATAAATTATATTATTTATACTCCTTTGGTTTTAACTGGTGGTTTAATGGGCGGTGAAATCTATTTCAACTCAAGAGAGTCAAGAAGTGGAAAATTTTACAGACAATTAAATATAGGTGGTGATAGTTACAATATATAATTTTTTAGAGGTATCAATTCTTTTGCACAATGTCAAACAACATCAGATTTTTTCAGATGATTCCAAAGGTACCTGGATTTTTAAAAATTTGTTTTTAATAAAATTTTACTACTATTATTTTAAATGGCATGCTTACTTCTTTGTGTGTTTGGAGATGAAAAGTCATGAAAAAAATGTGTTTTTTCACATTTACAGACCCTTGAACCCGCAAGACAGGTGAGTGTTGCAGAAATGTTGGTCTGTCGCGCCGTTAAGGCAGACTACAAGCAATTACAGATTAGAATCTGTAAATTTGTTGTTTATAAATAAAGTAATTCATGTAAAAGGAGGGCTTAATGTCCAACTACTATTTGGGTGGTGTGGTCAAGGGGTCAAATCACTTATTACTTTTTTTCATATTATAATCAATTAAAAAGCAATGTGCTCTCTGGGATTTAAATCCAGAATTGTTAGTGTAGCACAATGTCAACAGGCCAAAATCGGAGTGATTTTTTCTGTTTAAGGGGTCTTTCATGATGTTGAAATCTTGGTTTTATTGTAGACAAGAAATTTACTTAAAATTATCATCTAGGGTTCTAGACTGATTAATTTAGGGTTTTTGTGATTCTAGATTTTAAAGTCTATTAAATTTTTTTTTCATATTTTCATTATTAACAGTTAGGGTTTTTTGTAAAAATTTTCCCAAAAATTAGCACTAATATACAGGGTGACTGGCGATAAGTGTCAAAAATTTCAAGAGGTGTTTCTACTCACCATATGGAACAAAAAACTTTCTATAAACCCCTGTCCAATTTCAACGGTAAAGAAGTAATTTTAGGTTTGGATTTTTTTTTAATTTTTGACTTAGATCCACTAAATTGCTTATAAATTTAGAATTACTGACTAGAAAAATCTGATTTGTGCCAACTGAAAGAACGTTAAATTTGCTGAAAGTAAACCTATTTACAATGCAGAATTGATGAAAAAATTATGCATGAAAAATTCAGAAAAAACAAAAATGCTGAAATTTGGAATTTTTTTAAAATGTTGGATTGTTAACTGTTAATAACTACAAACTCCCGGAGCTTTTTGAATTCCCTCAAAAGTTCTCCATTCAATGAGCTTGTAGCGGTATATCAACCTTTTTGGATAGCGCTTCTGGAAGGCCCAAAAATTTTGCATTTTGTTGAAAAAAACTGGTCTCGATGAAGGGGGGCAAGCTCAATTTTTCCTGAAAATCCGTCTGGCTCTTGAATTTCGTCTCAGTTCTTTATTGTTAAATTCAATCAGTTTGCTTTATGTTATCAGGTGACAACTTCCTCGGGTTGGCGATTTAAAGTCTTTGTTTCCTAATGCACAACTTGCTGACATGCATTTCATTTATGGTTACTGCTGCAAGGGTTCGTCCACTCCAAAATGTGTTTTTTCATATTTTTATTGGGAGACCCTTGAACCCGCAAGACTTCTGAATGTTGCAGAAATGTTGGTCTGTCGCGCCGTTAAGGCAGACTAAAAGCAATTACAGATTAGAAGCAACAGTCAATTAGTTCAGGGCTTTCCAAACTTTTTAGCCAGTGGGTCCCATTCACAGAACAATATCCATGGCGGACCCCTATATTCAAGGGTTCTAAGGCTAACAACATATTTTCAAGGCAATCATGACTCTTGGTGCTTTTATGCCTTAAAAATGAAGAAAAATTGCTACAGAACAGAAATCTCTTTAGAATACCAAAAAAAGAAAAAGACTTTCTTATTATCTACACAAATCAATAATCACATAATTATGTATTTAAAGAATAATTGTTGACAAGGAACATATTTTTTTAAATAATTAAAAAATAACACATTTAAAACAAAAAATATAATAATAAAGTTTTAATTAAAGACCAGATTCCCGTGCAAATGTATCTTTTTATTAGGGGGATCATAAAGTAATATCGTTTCTGCTCATTTCAATATTTGTTTGTCATTTATCAGCTCATTGTGTATTTCAAAGTTGTGACAAAGATATTTTAAGGCTTGAACGACTTGTTACTCATAAATAATTAAATGTTAATTTTTTTGCAATTTGATCGAGAAATAACCAGCCAAGTACCAGAAGAGGTAGGTATCCGGCATTTTATGATTTTTGAGTTTCACAAAAGTAATAATGCAATCAAAAACATTCGCAATGTTTATCCAAATGCATTAGATGTTTGCCAAAGGCGGTTTTCTAAGTGCAAAATGTAGTAATTTTTCAACTCGTATCGATCAGGAAGACCAATGTCATATTAAGGGCGGAAGTGGAAGCAAATCTGTGTCAGACAATTGAGGAACAGTCGAACACTTTTAACCAATTTTGTTCAACCATTCAAGAACATTTGCGGCAGTAGTTGGGAAAAATTAATGAACTGGAGTAGGAGGTATTCCTCACCCATGCTTGCTCTACGTTGCACCATCTGATTTATTCCACTCGGTACAACATTTTCTAAGTGGCAAAAAATTTGAAACTGAATAATGTCCAAAATGCCATTATATTTTGCACAGAAACCAATTGATTTTTATTGATCCAACATTGAAAATTTGCAGACCAGATGGGAAAAGGTGTTTATAATGAGGTTGATGAAAAATAAAAACTTGTTAAAAATTCATTAATTTCGTGGTCCGCTTGACCAATTAAATCATTACAATTAATTAAAGTTTTCAGTTGAGATGAAAAAAAGCTAATGGCACGAGCGGGATTCGAAGCCACGATCTTCAGCTAGATATGCTGCTGCTCTACCACTTGAGCTATCGTGTCCTCGATCCACTCGGACATCAACTTCCTATTATCTCAACCCCACCTTTTTGAGTTTTCACTTTTTGAGTGTTGAAAAATGGCAAAAAGGAGGGACATCATTTCTTTTTTGAGAGTGGGACATGGCAGACGGTGCATACCACCTGGCAGTTTTGAAACCGAGTCGGTGGGTCGAAGAGACGAAACGGTTTTGAACCTTAATGTTTACCAAGAGGAAAACCGAGTTGGTGGGTCAAAGAGACGAAACGGTTTTGACCTTAATGTTTACCAAGAGGAAAACCAAAAATTGTCGTCGAGAATCCAAACCGATTACACGACATTTGAAAAATGGCAAAAAGGAGGGAAACTGATAAGGTGAGGTTGAGATAGCAAGTTGATGTCCGAGTGGATCGAGGTCACGATAGCTCAAGTGGTAGAGCAGCAGCGTATCTAGCCGAAGATCGTGGGTTCGAATCCCGCTCGTGCCATTAGCTTTTTTTCATCTCGACTAAAAACCTTAATTACTTGATAAAAATGTATCTGTTTTTGACTCTAATGTAAAAACAAATTTTTTCACTCTGATTGCAATGAAATCAAATTGTTCAATCATGGAAAAAATGTCCTCCTGCACAAATCTTATTTTGCATGAAAATGCACGTTTTTACAGTTCGCTGCATAAAATTGTATTTTTCATATTTTTTTATATTTATTGTTTTTTATGCATAAAAAGATAAAAACAACGTGAAAATGCATAATTTTTATGGGTTTACAGTTTTCAACTTCGAGTTTATAAAATCTTCCAAGAAATATTTTCTGCTCGACACCTGCCGATTCGCTCTGTTCTCAATCTTTTTTCGTCTTGGGAGCAAAGCAGAACCACTTAAAAAAAAATCCTGTTAAGTTCATAGTACCGAATGTTCAAAGTATTGGCTACAGGACTACTTGGAACCGAAGATCGATGGGCAAATTTTTTAACCCTTCCTCGATACGACACCCGACAAGGGTTTAAGCTGTAATTTAGCGTGCAAGGTGGGTCGTCGATGACCTAATCATTGTATTCAATTTTATTTCATACTACAAAATGTTTATACAAAAAAGGATGTAAATCAGAAGAGGCAATCACCCGGGTGGGAACAACATGATGCTCCTACCAATCTTTGAATTCTGCAATAATTAAGCAATTGGTTGAAGAGTTTTGCAGGTCACAGCGATATCCAATATCTGTGGATGTGAGCAACGTGATGTTGTTCCCTCCTTTTTGCCATTTTTCAGGAAAATTCAAAAGGTGTAGGTTGAGATGAGAATCTTTATGTAGGTATTGGTTGAAATGAAAAAAGTTACCTAGTCCCTAGTTAGTAATTACCTACAAATGGCAAAAAAGAGGGAAAATTCGAAAGGAGGGGTTGAGATGGGAAGTTGGTGTCCGAGTGGATCGAAGTCACGGTAGCTCAAGTGGTTAGAGCAGCGGAGTATTGAGCCGAAGGTCGTGGGTTCGAATCCCGCTCGTGACACTAACTTTTTCATTTCAACCAAAATCTTACACAAAAAGATAAATAAAAACATTGAAGGGTGTCGCAGGCTCGGGCAGGAGCCACAGGATGTTTCCCATGAACCTGGAAAATATAAAGTTGCAATAGTTGGACTACCAATCAAATAAATAACTATTAGTTATTTAGTAGTGCTGAAGAGTTGTTACAAGGACAAAAATATGTAGCAATTTGAGGCACCTTAAATTAAAAATACCGACACCCTGAGGTGACCTCTGCTGTTGTGAACCCTAGTAAAAAATCCCAAATGGTCTTATCAGACTGGCATACGTCGTAAGTTGAGAAGAATGAATTTGGAGGCTTAGAAATTAAAAAAAGAGCTCTAGTGCCTATATTTAAGATGATGGATATTAGATGAAAAGCTTAGCTTTTAAGACTTTAACGGTAAGCTAAAGCGACTTTATAGATAACTTCGTCTACTGTTTCAATTTTGATTTTAAAACTTGATGATTAACCTGGACATGTGGTCCTAATCCAGTAGAGAAAAAAAAGGATGATTTGGAAATCAAAAAACTTTCAAGATCAAAGACTCACCCCAGGCAGTGAACTGTCGACTCCAGATGTCGATCCGAAACCGAAGCAGCTACACTCCATCTGAGACTCAACCAAGGACTCAGCCAGCCAGATCCAGAAAGAACCAGCCATTCCAATACATCGGATCAAGTCGATGGCTAACAAACTGGAAAGGCGCTGTGGATGCTAATCGTGGCGAGCTTCTTTTGGGATGTCCCTTTGTTAATAGACTCATCCCAAATTTAGAGTTGTGGCTGGCTTGTTAGATTAATGATTGTTGTTGTTGTGCACATTTAAAAGTCGAAATTGCGTTCAAATAAATTTTGAAGAATATACTCTCTGGTTTATTAAATTCTCGAACCTTACCTTCCTCTACACAAGTGTGAAGCACTTATGCAGACTTCTCTCTTGTCACTTTGGGGAAAGCAAGCAAATATAGAGATTTTTTGGTTGTCGTGCTTGCTGCTTTCAATGATTTCATTCATTGCATCAGCCTGATGAAGGGTGTCAGACACCAAAAATGGAAGAGGGCTAAGAGCAGAGAAGTCAGGTAGAACTGTGGTAGATATAGCTGGGCTGAGATGACTGAAAGGCACAGAAGCAGTAGGAGTGGCAGAGACCCTTCTCTAGGTCCGCAGGTACGTCACGCTACCGTAGTATAACAGAATATATTTCAACCTTGTGTCATCTCAGGTGATTGGAGTATTGTTCCCACCGTCTACACTGCCACCGGTGACAGTTCGTTCCTGAGAACTCATCGTCAACAAGACAAGAGGATCTTTAGCGTCCGCACCTGGGACCGCAGTGTTCTATTCGGCCTTATCGGATGTTTTGATTCTCAAGATGAGAGCTGATGCACCTCCTCATACGACGGAATGGTGTTACCGCCGCAGCATTGGTGTAGAGGCGCCCCAGCCCCTAAGGGCCGAGACAACCTCGCTCTCCGCTTGTCAACTCCGAATGGTCGGGCCCGTATCGTGCATCGGGTCGTATGCCGCACGCAAAGGGCTAACAGGCCGAAATACATCAGCCTGTTCTCCCGCGCACTCCCTAGATAGAGAAGGCCTCTCTAAGTATATAGGCTCCCCCAGGGTAGAAACTTCCGGGAAGTTAGGCTAGGGCCCCGGCAGCGGTTTAGTTTAAAGTGGAATTACTAACCACACCCTAGATGAGCACCGCCTTACGGTAAAGTCTCTTATCGAGCTCAGCCTACACTTGCCATGCGCATTCGAGGGGCGCTGTAGGCTCAGCCTAGGTAGTCCGATCCTTCGCTTCCCGAAGGGTACCACGCCGATCATACGCACAACAATGCAAAGCATACTCGAATCAGACACATTCGCTTACTCACGCATTCGAGGGAATATTCAGCATGATCATCGCGGCCGGCGGTAATTACGCTGGACATACGCAAGCTTCACGAAGGTCACAGATAGAAGACAGCCTCTAAGTTCCCGCCAGGGGTGTCACCACGCACCACCACGAATCCATTCCCAGTGTAACTAGGGCTGAATTTGGACTGTTTAGTTACCCCGTGGTACAGACGGCCATACACCCTCCCCCGTCTATGCAGTCAGGATCTAGTGCACTGGCCCTCGTGTGACTGCTAAGGCACCCCCCGCCCATGCCGACCCTAGGCCGACACGAGTACAGCTCGTTCTTTAGAGAGGTTGCCACGCCCTCGGGCTGCACCTTTATTTTGTGCCTGGATACCCTCTTGCAACCAAGGGTTAGGAGGGGTCACAGGATAGAATGAAGGAGCTCAGATTGAGAAAAAGGGCCATGGATGAGAACACGAGGTGAGCCGTTTCGGGGTCTCGAGTCTCAAACCACACTATACCACCCGTCGTCGTCGTAGTTCCACACATAGTGGGCCACGACTCCCAGGGTGGGTTGCCACCAGTGACAACAGGCAGAGGGCTCGCATCAAAGCTGAAGAAGGTCCTCAGGCCCAAGACCCAGAGCTACAACCTGGTGACACACATCATTTCTGCAGCGTTCTGTGCCTCGACCCCAGCCCTTCCGGCGCCCGTCAAAGTACCTACAATTGTCACAACTCTCTTTAGGCAACTTACCATACCAAAACTCCAAGAGATTTTTTTTTTTTCAGGGCCACTGAATTCGAACCCGAGATCTTTACCTTACAGTCATGAGCGCCATGTCAACACCTAAACCGTCGCGACCACCGACACCCCTCAAGTGACTTCTCCAAACGATATCCACATCACAATTTTTAACATCCTAGAAGTGTTTTATTTAAAGACATTTATAAGGGAAGCCTTGAAATTTTTGGTATATCATATAATAAATAAATATGTAAATAAAGAATAACAATCCATATTTATTTCTTAAAAAATATTAATAATTAATTTCATCACACATTTATGCAGATAAAAAATTAAACTTAACAAATATATACTTTTTTCTTGTTTTTCTTAGGATTTAACAACTGAAATGCAATAGATTTTTTCCTTTTTTTTTTACACTTTCTTAAAAACGTCATTGTCGAGAGAGTATACGATTCTCTGTGTCACTGCCCTACACTTTTAAAAGTCAATTGTAACAAATGTCCCATCATTTTGGAAGTCTGTAAAACCCTCCGGAGAAGAGAAGTTTATGCTCCCTCACTTTCTGGTCCAAGAAATGCCTCAGTTGCTGCAGCGTACATTCAACAGCCGACGGCCCTTGTGAAGCGAACATCTTAAGCATCTGATGGATCCGCTCAGGCGGGAGGGACTCCAAATTTCCCAACATACCGACAATGTAAGTCCAAAATGCCTTGAAAATCAATGTTATTTATAGTTACGAAAATTAGCAAACTAAAATCAAAATTCAACCCTTAACGCTCTAAATGGGTTACTTAACAACATAACTTGTGTATAATAATTTTTCACCAATTTTAAAAATGGGCGTTCCTCTGGGCACAGGATTTTTTTAAACTTACAAGCTTACAATAGAACACAGAAGCTTGAAGAACACAAGATGGCCATGAATAAGGCCAAGATTTAAATCTGACTAGTGCAAAATATCCCGCATGTGCATAGATCCGTTGAGGGTTGAAAAAAAAAACCATGGAACTTACATGCAGCTCTTCTTCCCTTTGATCTTGGGCGGATGCCATTATGCTCTCGGTTTCGTCATCCTCGCATATCATCTCAGAAGCGGCTGGAGCTTTCAAAGACCTACCTATAGGTTCTTCAACTAACAGAAACGTATCTGTTGATGTTTCTCTAAGTAAACCCTACAATTTTTTTTTTAAGTTAACAAGCTTAAAAAAAACAAAATATCAATCATTTCCAACCTGCGATTGCCAGAATGCAATTCTCCTCCTTAAAACAGTCTGAGGCACTAATAGAGTCGAACTTAATTCATCGATCGTCCACTGGTCTAAATTGAAAATAAACACATTTAAAAGAAAATTAAAATTTTAAGAGAATGTGTACGCACTTTTTTCCTGGAAGTACCAAATAATTGCAGCTTGAGTAGGTGTGACGGTGAGATTTATACTTCGACCTTTTAACTCAATTTCAAGATCGACTGAACCCAGGTGAGGCTTCCAGTTTAACGTTCTATTGCCCTTTGAAAAATCATTTACCTCTATTAGACATTAACAAATTTTTACACTATAAAAAATTGAACTGAAATGACTGTTGATAAAACATTAATACACAGTTTTTGTTGTTTTTAAATGGCTTTATGAACTTTTCGTATTAGCCAAGGAACATGAGATATAATATATGTGATGAGTATTTTTTTTTGGGGGGGGGAAGGGTCAATGGAAGCAAACCCATGATCACAGGGTCTACGAACCAAGAGTCTATCAAGCTAACCCCTTGGCAACAGCAGTCCACACACAGTTAAACAAAATGAAAAGCTAAATAAAATAATACTAAAATACATGATGATGATGATGGATACTAGGAAGCTGGGATTTTTGTGCCTGAAGCACTACGGTCTTCTGGCTTATTGTACTTTCCTAGTTCCTTAGTACAGTGCAGTTGACTCGATCCTTCTATTAAAGGTGTGTACTCACAAAGCAAATCTCGGATGAAAGACAACCAATACATTGGGCGAAATGTTGGTCACCAACATATTGGCCAACCTTATATATTACGCAGGGTGGGCGACCAAGACGCAAGGGGTTAAATGCCTGGGTAGACTCGTACCCCATCTCTAAAAGGTCCGGGACTTGGTCGGCTCATGTGCCCTGCATAAATCTCTCAGACTTGTTCACAAACCCTGCTTCCTAGTATCCTTTTCTACCATACCATCTGTGTAGCAGTCTGTGTTGCGATGGTCATCATCCACACTATAATTATATCCACAAGGGGTGACTACCTGAAAGTACTTTTTCCCTGAAGGGGTTTTAATCTTTTTATCACTAATGCTTAATAATTGGCTGTTAACCTTACTCAATAGTTGTAAGATTCGAGTGACCTATGTTATTGCACTTATGATTCCAGCTGCCTTCGCTAATTAATTTGTAGCAACTGATTAGTGCTCTGACCTTAGCCTATTGGCCAACCTTAGCTCATCCTCATCAAACCAAGGGATTGAGACCAAAGGATTCAGCCATATGGAATCGCAGTCAATTATGCCAACCCTTTTGATGTTATGCCAGAAGACTGAACCTTGACCAAGGCCAAACGCTTCATTGGCTTTGATTCGCATTCATAGCATTATTTATTGGTTAGGAATGAATTCGCCAACATAACAGTCTTGTTGTTCTACAATCTGTACCAAGCTGGAACCGTTAATTTAAAACACTTCTCTTCTGAATCACAAAAATTGGTATGAGGTTTTTGATGGGTGGAAAAGGATGGAAAGTAAAATGGGGTTCTGAGACTGATCTGTGAGTTTGTAGCAACTGCAGCAATGAAAGTTTCACTGTTGTTCACAATTGGTAGAATGCTGAAGACTCGCATGGCACTTGGCATACATATTGGCTGTTTCTGCATGAACTGGCTGGTTGTAGAAACCTAGCTTGTATATACATAGGCGCGCTGTTTGGTGAACGCTAAGACGAGCATCTCGAAATTGCATTCGGCAAATATCGCATGTCTACAGCCACCTTTAGGCCTGACACATGTAGCGGTTTTGACCGAAGTGTTTACCAAAAGGACGACTGAGTCAGTAGGTTCTTTATTGAGAGTGGGACATGGCAGATGGTGCATATCACCTGGCAGTTTTGAAACAGAGTCGGTGGGTCAAAGAGAAGAAACGGTTTTGACTTTAATGTTTACCAAGAGGAAAACCAAGTCGGTGAGTCGTTTCTTTATTGAGAGTGGGACATGGCAGATGGTGCATATCACCTGGCAGTTTTGAAACCGAGTCGGTGAGTCATTTCCTTATTGAGAGTGGGACATGGTAGACGGTGCATATCACGTGGCAGTTTTGAAACTGAGTCGGTGGGTCGAAGAGATAACCTTCAAGTCCGTTTCGACGAACCGCACTTATTGTTTTGCGTCCAACTACAACTATCTGTTTTTGACTTTTTTTTGTTCTTGATGATTCCGCAATACCAACTACAAATAATTGAAGCGTTCTTTTTTTCCAATGGTAATTAATACAGCAGGGATAGCAAAAGTATTCTAATAAAATAATCTTATAATAATATATTATAAGATTATTTTATAAGATGTAAAGAGTGTTTCTGGGATCAAGTAGATTTTTCCATTTCTAAGAATGGGTGTCTGAATTTATTAATTATTGTTATATTCCCAAAGTTTAGTTCGCATCCAAGTTGATTGTTTCCGGAGCCTTAAATGAGTTTTTCCTTACTTCTTGTATCAATATTTTCAATTGAGGTAGGTTTAACAGGGTTCCATTGTCACCGTAATACAGTTTTGCACCAACGATGAAGTGTTTACTGTAAATAAGACTTACCTTAAGGGTTTCAAAAGCTTTCGTGTAAACGTTTAAATGTTCTTTTATTTTCTGAGGAAGCTCCAGTGTTTCCTCTTTCAACATTGGCCAAAATTGAGCCGAGAGAATCATGCAAGTACAGTTGAACTCCTGAAAAGTTGCATATTTAAAATTACCAATCAAAGGAGCATTTGTCCAGCGTACCTGACTTGCTAGGCCGAAATTCGGTTCAGAATGCAAATGTGTATTCAATCTCTTAGAATCATAGATATCTTTCAGCATAACCTCACAGTAATGCAATTGTGAATCTCCGAATCTGAAATGAACCAAATAAATATTTTTTTTTTTTTAATAATCAGGGAATTTACAAGAAGACCTTAGTTTGAGAAGTTCTAGGTATCGTATTTCTTTTTCTGTATTGTAACTATGCTGTAGAAGAAGACGATCTGCCAGGAGGCTTCTGTACTCGTGCACAAACATTTCCTTACTGCCATAAACTGTTACAAGCATTGAGACTATATCTCTACCGTTGAGCCGTTCCCTATTTGGTTTCGCTGGAATTAAATTATCAAATTAAAATACAATAATTACAGTAAGAACATCAAAATCCTACTGTGCGCGTCAATAGGGTCAGGCGTCCAGTCTTCCCAATGAACCGGATCCTGCATTCCAGTTTCTTCCCCTCGTACTAGCTCATCGGCCAGCTCTCCAGGCCCATCTTCGGTCAAGCTCATAACAATGCACCTCATTGTGTCATCACGGCCTCTGAGATAATGCCTAAAAATATCCAAATTAACTTAAATTGCTACGTTTTAAAAAAATCATTAACTAATATTACCTTACTGGCATTGTAACTGTTTCCAAAAGGATTCCAGTAGAATCTAAATGTCTCAGGGCCCGGATGGACGCGACATAAGCCGTGATTATGTCCGATGTGTTCACACCCGGGTGAAGTAACCTAGTCTGCAGTACGTTCTGCAATTTAGTTGTTAAATATTGTCGAAGGTCCGTCTTCTCCAAGCAGACTTTCAAGTCTTCAATGGCGGCTCCGGAATCCGGATATTCTATCAAGAGACAGGATTTTCCATCAAGGACGAAATGTTACAACTGTATTGTTCAAATTTTGAAATACTACCTATGATTATATTGAACAATTGTTCTATCCTGGTCTTCGTGTAGGTTTCATACAGGAGATGATTCAATTTCATCTTAAACGTGTTCAAACTTTTCTTCGTAAATGGACAGTCTGGACCGCTGCTGTACAAACGCGTCAGCCAACCAAAAACTACAGTGCTTAACCACTAAGATTTAAACAAATAAATATATACACACAATAAAAGTAAAAATTTGGTTGTAAAATAAGTCCATAATGTTTTTTGATGGGAAAATCAATGAAATAATCTATGTATCTATAGAGACAGGATTTTTTTGCAGTTGCATATTTTGTTTGCCACCACATACGACTGAGGAAATCAATTATCTATCCAAACCATGTATCTAGGAAGCTGTAGGTTAAATTTTATAAAGCATATTTTGTGTAGGAATCTGTTTGACGTTTGAGTCAAGCATTGACGGTGAATGATGGAAAGTTTGATTGATTGGAGCGCTTGACTGTTTACAAGGGTTTTGATCAATCTTTCCGTCAGTTGAAATTTTCTTGGTTCATTCTGGGAATGTTTCTGTAGTCTGGTTCTGTTTCGCATAGAATTTTTTTGAACTGGACCCTCATTCAGTTCGTCTAACTTCTCTCCTATCTAACCCCCACCGAAGTCCTTGAGGCCATAACCAAATCCCACTCCAAGGCCATTGGAGTTGATGGCATCCCTATCCATTTTCTTAAACTCTGCCTCCCGATATTACTACCTGTTCTACTTCACATCTATAACTACTCACTCCAAAACTCTGTTTTTCTGGCCTGGCAAAAAGCCCTTGTCCACCCTGTCAACAAAACCCCCAACCCATCCTCCCCTACAGACTACCATCCCAATTCCATCCTCTCAAACCTAGAAAGATTAGTCCAAGCACCTTGAACAGTCCCATCTTCTTAATCCCCTCCAAACTGGCTTCCGCCAAGGCTATTCCACCCAATCAGCACTAATAAAAATTACCAGTGACCTCCACTTAGCAATGGACCAACAGAAAGTTACTATACTTGTCCTTCTTGATTTCCTTACTCTTCTCTCCTCTCTAAACTCGAATCTTTTTCCTTCCAGCACCATCCACTCCTGGTTCGTTCCACTCCTACCTTACCAATCACCACCAAGCTGCCTCCCTTCCTAATGGCCTTACCTCCTCCTTCCTCCCACTAAAATCTAGGGTGCCCCAAGGCTCTAGCATCTCTCCTATACTTTTTTCCATTTATATCAACGACCTGTCTGACTCCATCCAATTCTGTAACTATCACCTACATGCCGATGACTCCCAAATCCTTCCACCCTTCCGATCTTCACTCGGCCATTCTCAAGATCCAAAAAGCCTTAAACTCCATCAACAAATGGGCCCATAAAAATTCCCTAGTCCTCAATCCGTCCAAATACCCGCCATAAGTATTGGGTCAAGGCAACTCCTCAATTCCCTCCCCAGCAACCCACCTCTCATGCTAAATAACCATCCCATCCCCTTCTGCTCGTCAGTTAAAAACCTAGGAGTAGTCTTTGACCAAAACCTTTCCCGGCATTCTCACATTTCTCAAATTTCCCGCCATTCCATTGCCTCCCTCAGCCTGTTTCGTCAGTCCTGGCTTCTCTTATCTTTCTCCACCCGCAAACTTCTTGTATCTTCCCTTATACTTCCCTTCTTCGATTATAGCTGTTTGGCATACGGTGGTCTCTCGGAGGGGGAAGCGTATTATGAATTGTTGCGTAAGATTTGTATACGGCACCCCACAGGGATCCCGGGTGTCGGGGTTGTACTCCCAACTTTCCCCTCCTTCCGTGCATAGTATTTCCTAAATTGCTTTCTTTTCCAGTCCATCCACACTCGTCCTCCTTAAATCATCCAATCCCTCCAATTCAACTCCTCACATCTCACTCGTAAGACCCGCTCATCCCCAATCGCCCTTATCCTTCCGCAACATACAACCCATACCTTCGAAAGATCCTTTCTGATCCGAGCCCCTTAGCTCTGGAACTCCTTTCCCCTTTCTATTTGTCACGCTGCCTCCTTTTCCTCCTTTAAATCCCACCTGTATAATCACCTCCTCTCCCTCCAAGCAAAGACCGCACCTTAACATTTGTTATTTTTGTTTAATATTCTCGTAATTTTCTCTTCTGGCCTTCCTTACTGGTATACATTGTGTCAAGATTTCTATCTTTTTTTTACTTTTAACTTCATAGAAGAATACTTCCTTTATTTATTTCATGTAAATTATTCTTTGGGGGACACCAGTCCCAGAATAAAGTTATTTTTCTTCTTCTTCTTAAACGTTTATTAGTTAAACGTTAGTGATTTATACCACTCCTTTGACCACCGTCGTTTCCTCTTCTTGTTCTGCTTCTTCAGCACGATTGATAAAGTCAAGGCGAGGAAGCCAATATCTGTATTTGAAAACATTGTTTCAGCCGCGAAAATTTTAATATAGCTCTCAACTGAAGTCTTGCATAAAAAAGAACAGCACTACGTACCTGAGCAAAATGAGTTTTGAACAAAAAATTGAGGGTTGATTGAAGTGCGCATCAATCGATTGACTCAACCATTTGATCAGAATGATTGACCGTCTAGGCCCCCCTTTAGCTCTTATATTCAATATTCTCACAAATTCACTAATTTCGTGGTCCGCTTGACCAATTAATATGTTAAAATTAATTAAGGTTTTTAGTTGAGATGAAAAAAAGTTAATGGCACGAGCGGGATTCGAACCCACGATCTTCGGCTTGATACGCCGCTGCTCTACCACCTGAGCTATCGTGACCTCGATCCACTCGGACACCAACTTCCCATCACAACCACACCTTTTGAATTTTCCCCTCCTTTTTGCCATTTTTCAAAATTCATTGGAAACTAGGCACTGCATGGGTAAAATAACTTGTACATCGTCTAAGGCAGCTGACCTCATAAAAAAATGCTAATTTACACAAAAAGTAAAATTTTAAAAATATTTTAACAATGTTTTATAATTAATATTAAGACTATTTATGGAGAAAAAACTGCCAAAAAAAATTGGAGTGTCGATAGCGTTTCAAGCTCCTACATTCAACATGTTAAATGTTTCAAAATGAAAGAAGGATAAACTCGAATTATCAAAAAGCACTACGGGCTTGTTTTATAATAATAATTAATTATTGAAGCTATATATAAATCTTACTGATTCGAGTGACGGTATGAAAGAAACATCAAAACTTCCTTTACAAGTGTCTTGTATATGTGTTTCGATTTGTTTGTGAATTAATGACGTCAGGACATCTCCCGCTATTCTTTCAAGCAGTTCCAACTCAATTAGAATCCTAAAAAACGTTTAAACAAATTTATCAATTTATACAATCTTTCTGTCTGAACTACGTTTGAATTCAATAATAATTTTAAAAATATAGATTTAATGTTTCATTTCATTACCTATTTGTTGAATGAAAGTCTTCTATTATTTTTTCACACCGGCATTGTTCTAACTCAAAAGAACAGCCTCCGCACTGAAGTCCATCTTCTCCAGATTCATTCATATCTGAAACCATCCAGCGTTAGAAATGAAATTTATAAAAAATTGTTGTACAAACATGCCTCGGTTTGATTTGTCAAAATGGTAGAAAACTTTAAAAGAGAGTTTATAAAACTCTTCCACGATGTTCTTATGTGAACGGACGGGAAGTTGGGACTGTAGAGTTGACGTAATGATGTATTTTAACACGACCCAAAGGTTTTCTTCTCCATAAATTTCCCTTTGAACCTCCAGCCTTTTTCTCATATCTTCCAGGCGTTGGAAGACCGGAATGAACTGGCAGTACCTCTGGTGGAGCTTGTGGACGGTAAATTTGAACCTTTCAAAACCGCTGTCAATGCTGGGCAATTGGAACTCCTGCCAGAACTCGGGTACTATCCACGTCCGCAAATGTTCTTCGATTTTGTCTATTATCAGATCTTCAACGAGGCACAGGAGGTCGCTTTCTCTAAGCCCATTCTCAAGAAAGCGGCATTCATCTTCACTCAACAGTGGTGGGTTGAACTGAAAAAAAAAACTAGCCTAAAAAAAAATGTTTCCGCAGAATGTAAATCAAAGGATAAATCATTCTAAAAAGTTTTTCAAATCTAAAGTGAAAAACTGTTCCAGTGTTGGACATAAATGGCCAATCTGGCAAATAATAGTCACATCAAAGAGAATAATGAGACGTTTAGAAGTTTCTGCACTTGTAGTGGTTGTTTTCATTGCCCCTGTGATATATAGGTTTGCTAATCTTTGTATGCTGCAGTGTTTGGGCAGCTAGTTTTTGTTGAGCTTTGGTTCACCAGATTAATTTATCCATAGGTTATTTTGGGTCTTACTGCCGGGTATGGCCGTTGGGGCATTTTCAGTTTTGCCTAGGGTTCTTCTTGTAGTTGTAGCTAGCCTTACTCCATCATGGCTCACGTCCAGGGATTTAGAAATAAATAAAAATTTCTGAAGGATTCTTAACAAGCACTTGAGAATAAGCACAATAGACACCTGAGAAGGATTGGTATGAACCCACACATAATGCAGAGATTCTGCAAAAGCCCCAATGCACCTATTAACTGTGCCTTGAAGGAGGAAATATTTTGGGATGTATAACATAACCCTAGAAGAAATTGAATCACTAAAACCATGCCTCAAAAATCAAAAGTTCCTTGATGAATTGGAACTCACCGGCGTTCATATAGGTACAAACTCAAGTCAATATTTATCAGGGGTAAAAAAATAGGTACAGGGTCTCTTAAAATTTGTCAAAACATACAATAGAATCTGACAGCAATATAGGAGATAGCACTAGATAGCGTAATAATGTCTACCCCCATCATCCAAGGCATTAAAGGGGACTTAAATTCGACTAAGTATGATATTGTGCTGCAATATTTCAGTCAAATGTACAGAAAGACCCAAATAAAAAAAAAAGGAATGGTATTGGTTCAAATGAATTCATTCACTGACCCACTGAAAGACCAACCACCATTAACTTCAACATATATTATGCTCAACCAAGTCAAACATTTAGTCCTCTTTGGGGGTGCAATTTGATCAGGACAATGAAGTTCTTTAATGTGTGCAGTTTAATGCACCTGGCACATGACCTTATCACACGTTTAGTTTCTCAAGATAGGAGCGACACACCTCCATGTTACTGTACCTATCCCACTACTTTTGTAAGGCCATCTCAGTATCTAAGAACAAGGTGACCTCCTGCTAGCTCCTCCCAAGGGGAATCGTCAATATTGTGCATCCAACCATGTACTGCGTATCAGTGGACAACCAGTCACAAGGTACTGAAATGCATCAGTTAGGCTTTTGACTATACTATCTATAGAGAGAAGATGACTCTCATGGTGAATTTCCCAGAGTGTTAGGACCCCTCCAGCATCGGAACTACCGGATCCGCTCTGGTCGTGGTTTTGTTTAAAGTGGAATTTCTAAATAAAACTGATAATGACACGGCTCAACTCACCACTAAACCATTATGATTCCATTACTACATAGCATGCTACTGGGCTTGGAACTTGGATCTACCCCATAGTTCTGTCGGTTATGCACCCTCTCTTGTCTTTGCAGACAGGATCTGGCACCCTACCCGTCTGTGCTACTGATCAAGCAGCTGCTGGCCACCTGCTGACATACAGTCAACATGCAAATACAGCTTGTGCTTTAGAGAGTTCACCAAGGCTACACCATTATGTTTGCCTGGATACCCCTTTGCATCCTGCATTAGGAAAGGTCTTAAGAAAATATACTGAAAGACCTAGATTGAGAAAGGGAATGCCAGAGAACATGAGGCTCATTTTTCAGGCTACACCGTATGCCTCAGGCATAACGTAACCTTTGGCACAGTGATTCCAAAATTATGGAGGTACGGTTCCTCTGGGTGGATGAGAGAGGCAAGAATAATTATTCAAGTTCCAAACAAATCGATCGCCATCTCAACCACCCCACCTCAAGGGATGATTCTGAGATTGTGTGCCCGCCCTGCACACATCCCGGATTAAGAACTATTCATTCTCAGGTACTGTTCTCCACATGATACATTCAGGGGAAACAAAGTCAAACAATGTTAAATAAATATTTCAGACATCATCGTTAAGAATGGGAAAGGCTTTCTCTGAAAGAATCATCATGTCTGCCGGCTGGTCTATGCTGTTCAAGAGTAGAAATCAGGTAAGGATCCACATTCCACATTCACTATCCCAACCACCCCACCTTGAGGGATGATTCCGAGATTGTGTGCCCGCCCTACACACATCCCGGATTAAAAACTGTTCATTCTCAGGTACCCTTCTCCACATGAGAACATTCAGTGGAAACACAGTCAAACAATATTTCTCATATTTCAGACATCATCGTTATGAACGGGAAAGGCTTTCTCTGAAAGAGTCATGTCGGCAATTCTGGTCAAGAGTAAAAATCAGGTAAGGATCCACATTCGCTACCCCGACCACCCCACCTCGAGGGATGATTCCAAGACTGTATACCCGCCCAACAAACAACCCAAATTAAAAATTGTTCATTCTCAGGTACTCTTCTCCACATAAGTATATTCATGGGAAACCAAGTCAAAAAATGTATAAATAAACATTTCTCACATCATCGTTAAGAATGGGAAAGGCTTTCTCTGCAAGAGCCATCACGTCCGCCGGCTGGTCCATTCTGATCAAGAGTTGGAAGTCAGGTAGGGATCCACATTCCACATTCAAAACAATGCGCCGCAGCGGCCAAGCACAGCCGCAAAGGTAATCAGCCGAATGTTGTTATGGAAAGTCTCCAATGGAGTGGACAGAGCGCGTGCTGGAAATGTTTTCGAATATTCCCTCTTATATTTTGAATTTCTGTATAAACTGAGAACCAAAAAAACGTGGCCACCCTTAATATTTTTAATTATCTTTTAGACAATCCTCCATTGATTCTGGACAGCAATATTGGTCCGTTTTAAAGGATTAGAGGTAAGTAAAACAGATAAAATCTCCTATTTGTGTTTTCAATTGGATTTTGTAAATAAATCTCTAAATAGTCAATCTTTTCTTTGGTTGTTTTTATGTAAAGCTTCTTTCTAACGTTCCAGTCGTTTGTAGTTTTTTTTTTAAAGTTGTATTATGTTTAAATTGCAAATTTTAAGTGATGCAGATTCAGCTAGAATCATAGCATTGTTGGAAGATGGAAGGAGTCAAGCATATGTGGCTAGGTTACTTAACATTCCCAAAACAATTGTCCAAAGGATCTTCCATCGTTACCGAGTTACTGGATGTCACTCATATATATATTATGCAGGATTGGTGACCAAGACCCGAGGGGTTAAATGCCTGGGTAGACTCGTACCCCACCTAAAAGGTCCTGGACTTGGTCAGCTCACGTGTCCTGCATAAATCTCTTGGACTTGTTCACAAACCCCAAGATTTTGGACATTTAATCTCGGGGAGTGATTTGGTGATGTCCGCTCCTTCAAAGATTTCAAATCTAGACCTAGCATACCTATCACACTCAGCGAGGTAGTGCCTTGCTGTTTCTTCTTTTATTTCGTAAAAATGCATAAAGGATCTGATAAAATACCCATTACGGAGAGGTGTCTTCTCAATGGACAGTGGTCCGTCAGGGTACCTATCAGCCTCCTAATTCCCTTCCTTGAGTTAGAGAATAGCCATTTCGTTTCTGCTGGTTTGATATCCTTAACAAAATCCATCGATTGCCTGTATCCAGGGGATAGATTCCATTCCTTGTTTCATCCCCCAGTTTTTAATAGCTCATAGAGTGAGGTAATACTGGTTGTGGCCCGACAAGCTTTGTGCATCAGATGATGACAATAAAAGGATGGCCAACACCACCCAAACGTGACGAATAAGTATCAGTGTAGTGTTAATCTAAGTATCAGAGTGTGATAAATTAGATTTAATCGTATATATACACATATTGTAGTTTATTGTATATATAGTATTATTATGTAGAGGGGGACTCTCTTTCTCTCCTGAGCAGGGTTCAGTGTACGGGGAGATTGGGCACCCCTCATTAGCACGTAAGATATTTGTAAGGTGCGACCCTCACGTCATATCCCGACCAGGCACCTCCCCGTGGTCCATCCTGGGCATGGCTGCAGCCGTGGCTAATGCCTGGTGACGTGAGGGTTGGGCCTTCAGTGGTATATGGTTGCACGACCATCCTGTGTAAGTCCGGAAACGGACATAGGAAAAGGCAGCCTTAGACCTTTGAAGGTTGTGGCCTGACAAATGCAGTATTAGAGCGTTCTTTGGCCAGGCTATCTACCTCTTCATTTCCATGGTGTCCTTTATGTGCTGGTATCCAAATAAGGGTTACCTTGTTCTCAAACCCGGAAGAGATTCTATTGATAAGATCTACAGATTCCTCCACCAGTCTAGATGTTGACAAATCTTTTTGTAAAGACCTAAGGCTAGCCTGATTGTCAGAAAAAATTCTAATATCTTTTCCCTTGATTTTATTTTCTATAAGTGTTCTACAACACACATTAATGGCCCAGATTTTCGCCTGAAAAACGGAGATGTTATTGCCAAGAGAGGAGGAGATGTTGATACCTAATTTAGGTATATGAATTCCAGCACCACTTCCTTTACCTTTGATAAGTGAACCATCTGTATAGCAGTCTATGTTACGATGGTCATCATCCACACTATAGTTATATGCACATAGTTCATATAGTTAACCTTACTCAATAGTTGTAGGATTTTCGAGTGACCTATGTTATTGCACTTATGGTTCCAGCGCCTTCACTAATTAATCTGTAGCAACTGATTAGTGCTCTGACCTTAGCCTCTATGGATGTTATTCAACAAGGCATGGATCAGGTCACCATCATCTGATAGATAATCGTTTTAGTGTTTCGAATTTACTCCGTATTTGACATTCTACCATTTGTTGAGATCAAGCAACAACTTCAACAAGTTAGAAATGTTAATGACAGTTTGAAAGGCGAAAACTTTCAGAAGCTGGATTATTTGCGAGAAGGCCTGCCATTGGTCCTGAACTTCTGACAAAGCACAGAACAACTCGGTTAAGTTTTGCAAGAAAAGACATCAGTTGGTCTGTGCAAGATCGGAGTAAAATTTTGTTTTTGGATGAGTCAAGGTTTTGTTTGAGGTCTTCTGATGGCCGAGAGAGGGTTTGGAGAAAAACAGGAGAGCAATATATCGCCGCAACATTTTCATCCGGGGAAGCTGGTTGGTTGAGCAGGTATGGAAAGTCGCACAAATTTGATCTTCCTCAAGGGTTTTCAATATTGAAGATGTCCTATCAGAAGAAGTCCTTTTATGCCACTAATTGGCAACAGTTTTATTTTTAAGCATGACAATTGCAATAGCTACGATAGTTGGTGACTGCTTGGAACGGGTTTCAATTCAATAATTGGAGTGGCTATCATGTAGTCCTGACGTAAACCATATCAAACAAATTTAGTACTAGGGGTAAAAGATGGTAAAAAATCGTCCAGAAATGCCAGAGAATTTACTTGAGAATTTAAGAATGGCGCTGTTGGAGGAGTTTGAAAATATTCCGCAACACTTCAAAAGCTTATAAAATTGATGCCATGTCGAATGCAAGCTGTGATCAACAATTAGACTTTTCTTTTAAAAATATCCAGTATACAGCAAAAAATAAAAATTATAATGATTGCAAGAATTACTTTTGAAAGATTCAGTGGACCTTAGGAGGCCCGGGTACGAGGGAGCACATAATATTACACCTAATAAACATGGATGATTTTAAGCTGTATGCGTCCAAAGAAGTCCACCTAAGAATGCTACTGGACATAGGTGGTTTTCAGAGGATATCTGGATCTCCTTTGATCTAAAAAACTTGCCAAACACAATCTATCAATTTTGAAGAAGTCTGGATGGCAATTCACCATGGAATAATTCCGCAAGAACCAAGGGTAGTAATACTCAGAACATGTAAATTTGTTAAGTTTGTATTGGAACGGTGAGACAGCAGTAGCTCTCCCTGAAAGCCAGACTTCTGAACGTTTAAGTTTGTGTTAGTGTCAAGGTTGAGAGTGATTGTTGGGAAAAAGGTGCTCTCTTCCTTCAGCTGTGGCCTTCAACAAACAAATAAAATATTTTATTTACCATAATTCATATGAAATAATGCACTGTACAGCATGGAAAATTCCGTCTGCCGGAGGTCAATACATCAATAAAACAACAGTAAAAAAAGAAAATTAAATAAAAAATGTAGAACATAAAAGCAAATCTAACAATTTAAATAAAATAGAAAATCTGTATTTGAAGAAAACTTCTTTTATTTCTTTTCGTTTTTCTTCAAACACAGATTCTCTACTGTACAATTCCATAGCTTGGACTGTACTACTTTAGACAAAATATTAAATTTAAATAAAATTGAAAATCCTCTTTAAAATTTATGCTTGTTAACAAACTCATACCTGCATTGCCATGCATTTGTACAATATTTTCTATGAGCGAGATTGGGTCAGTTTTTTAAATATTTTTTTTAAGCCTGATGATGATTAATTCATTTCTAGTCAAGAAGCCACAGTTTAAGCAGAGCAAATAAATTTCTATCAAATATAGCATTCACAGTGACCTTTATACAACTGAAAGTGAGCTAACCATTTTTTTTTATTATTAATCATTATAATTAAGGTTTTTAGTTGAGATGAAAAAAAGTTAATGGCACGAGCGGGATTCGAACCCACGATCTTCGGCTAGATACGCCGCTACTCTACCACTTGAGCTATCGTGACCTCGATCCACTCGGACATCAACTTCCTATCTCAACCCCACCTTATGAGTTTTCCCTCCTTTTATTTAATTTATTATTAATAAAATACATAAATTAATTAATTCTCTATTTAAGGAATTGTACAAATAAATAATAAAAAGTGAACCATTTGAAAAATAAAATTACATAAATATATTTAAAAAAAATTATCCAGTTTTGTAAATACAATTTAGACATAGTGTGGAGTTGCAATTTAAATTATAATGCTTTAAACCCCTAAAAAAATAAAAATAAGAATTGTGAAAATTGGTAAAATAATAAAATAAGAATTGTTTGCTTACATTAACTGTACTGTTTATTTTAATTAAATTCTTCTACATTCGTTTAAGAAAAATTTGTCCAGCATGAAGAACTAAGAAAGGATCTTTTTTTTATATATATATACAACTTCAACGAAACTTTGTTATTTTACCCTTATCCATTTAATGAAGTAAATGAATTAATAATTCTATGCCGAGTAGGAAAATGGAGATGACCACTCCAGCCAAAAAGGCGCCCACAGCGACGAACACCACTTCCAAAGTCACGTGCACAAAGCGGATGTTGCCGTAACACGAGGGTGTCATAGGGTACCAAAACTTCTTCAACCTGTTTGACAAGCCATTCTCCTTGATCCAGATAAGGCTGTAAAATTTAATATTAAAAAAAATTAAGAATATAATTTAAAAAACTCACCCTTGGTTAAATAGTTCTTTGTAAGAGGAATTTTTCTCAACGGTCAGGCAGACAGGGAAAGGATTGATTGTTTCGATTTCAGTAATCTCGCATTTTTCCGAATCTGAGAACTTGCGAGACACCTCCCAATATACAGCGTGATCATCAGTGCAAAACGCAAACCTTTCGGTTCTCACCTTTTCCACCCCTTTTTCAACTGTCTGTGTAATTTTTTCCTTTTCAAGTTTAGCACGGGTTTCAGGCTTCAAAATAAATCCCCAACTCTGAAAAAAAGAAGATACGATAATAATTTCAGCCTCTTGAATTGGTTAGGGATGGTTAGGGATGCTTCTTTTCACCTTGCTATAGTTCGTCAAATAATTATCTTTTATAATGCCTAATTCCATTAATTGGCTTTTTAAAAGCTGTTCGACCGTCTGTATCGAATTGGGAGCAGGTGTCAAGAGGCCGTGCAGTGTAGCAGCGTTGTAGTATGTAGACGCAAATAGCGCAAACAGCAGTAAAGCAATACTCGTCATTTTCATTGAAGTTGTATAAGGATTTGTAATTAAGCCTGAAATAATTTGACAATAAATCATACACAATTCAATATTCACTAATCAATGATATATTTTTCAAAATCAGCAATTTATATTAATCATCAAATCAATTTATATTAAGTAGTCTATTTGTATAAAAGTTGAATTGATGAAAAGTTAAAATAAGTGAGAAGTTTAGGAGACAGACCAAGTAAAGTGGTCAAGTGGTTAGTTCAACATGTATTCACTGACTTGTAGGTTAACCACTACCGCCAATTTTTCTATCAACGGTGTCCATTGTCTAAATAGACAATATTTTGTCTTTCTACCAGTCTTAGGGGATTTTTTGTCAACTGGTAAAAAAATATATTAATAATATATTAAATGTTGATGGTGGGTGTTGATCTGTGAGTCGGTGAGCATATATTGAACCGGCATTGAGTCTTCTGACTCGAGCATTTCAGCGTTGAGTTCCTCACTGAAGATTGCAGAAGGCCCAGCACTTGTAAAAAAATATATAATGTAGAAAAGAAAACACTTCACCTTGATAAGTCATGACTCCTATAACGTAAACAAACCCATCGCCAATTTCCGCGGCATTTTCTTTCTTGAAATATTTTCGGGTGAAGGATATGATTTCGCAGAAAAGTACAAACACTCCCATTGTTATCAATATGTATGTCCAAACTTCTGGGGAAAACGGCCGTATCAGAGCGTTATATGTTGACAAAAACTTCGGCTGGCGAAACATGAATATAAATCTGAAAAAGTGTTGGTTCAATTTTTGAAATTTTTTTTATCGCGTTTTTTATGACAACCTTAATTTCATCATGGGCACTAAGTACTGGACTAAATCCCTGAAGTCATCCATTGGCTGCATGGGAACTGTAGCGACATCAGCCTTTCCCTGGGATATGTACTTAACCAGCCCAGTCCAGTTCCCTTTGGCAACTTCACTGCCCAATGTGGAAGATCTGGTTATGTTCATTCTAAATATAAAGATTTAAAAACTTAAGAATAAAAGTCATGCAATGTAGTTGAAGTGAATTGTTCATTATTTTAAGAAGTTATTAGTTTGGTTCTAGTTGTTTTTGGGTCTTTAGTAATCATGGACAATTTGAATAGTAGTTTAGGTCAGCTAGCTACAATAATTATTGTATTATCTTTTTCTAAATGAACATCTATGCTTTTATAGCCATAAACGTTTACTTGAAAATAACTTCCATTATTAATAGGATACACATTACTTGAAGACTAGCCATTTCTCCAAGTATAGCTGATACATGAAATGCTCCCTGTTGTATATTTCTGCTTCCGGGAAGTAAGTTTGGTCGGTCAACTTTTGGGACATGTTCTGATCGTCATTGTCCAATTTCAGTTCTGTAACCTAAAATAAAAGGGTAAAATTTGAAAAGGTTTTAAGAAAATGTTTGTAAATTGAAACAGCTTACAAGTGCAGCGGTTAAAGTGATACCGTCTAAATCAGTTCTTTTATTTTTTTCTAAACGAAAATCCAATCTGCTCAAGACACCGCAGTGGTACGCCTGGAGATGGTACTGAGGAGCGGTTTTGTAAATATCATACAGCGAACTGTTTGAAAGCCGGAGGATGACGTCTGAGCTGATTCCCAATGGAAGAGATTTCAGTTTTTTTAATATGGCAAGGCTTTCAGCATACAGCAACCAAGCAAAACTGACATTGAAAGTAGTCACATCCTAAAAAAAATTATTGGTCAAAATACTACAAGTACGCAAAATATAATTGTTAATTATGATACACAACTTAACAACTATTACTTTGATTGCAATTGTCCCCCTGGAGGAGTACTATAACAAGCTTTATAGTGACTGATAGCGGACAACCTCCTACACAATGGTACCCAAATGACACTGTCATAATTATCAGAGTTAAATTAGACCATAGTCCAGTAGAATTAATGCAAAAAGCCTTAAATTTAACACTGAGATGTTATGTGAAACAGAAAGCATAACAAAGAAGTTATGTACTTAGGAATAGTTTGTGACCAAAGGCTAACATGACAACAAGAAAGCCATGGGCCACATCCTAACACATTCCTTCATGGAGTCTGACAGCAAACCCGCCTCCATTTCTCACGTACACCACATCGGGAGAGAGAGAGAGAGAGAGAGAGAGAGAGAGAGAGAGAGAGAGAGAGAGAGAGAGAGAGAGAGAGAGAGAGAGAGAGTCATGTTTCACTATTTTTTATTATTACGTATTTTCTTCATTAGGTTTTTTGTTAACAAAAGATGTCATTTTATTAGCGAAAAAGTGAAAAAGAGAGAGAAAGAAAGAGAGAGAAAGGGAGAGAGAGAGAGAGAGGGAGAGAGAGAGAGAGNAGAGAGAGAGAGAGAGAGAGAGAGAGAGAGAGAGAGAGAGTGAGAGAAATATGTTCTACAATTTTTTGTGATATTTTCTTACTTACAGTTTTTGTTGACAAAAGATGTTAATTTTATTAGTGCAATATGGGGAAAAAGTGAAAGAGAGAGAGAGAGAGAGTGAGAGAACAAGAAAGAGAACGAGAAAGAGAGAGAGAGTCATGTTTCACAATTTTTTATTATTACGTATTTTCTTCATCAGGTTTTTTGTTAACAAAAGATGTCATTTTATTTTATTAGGGAAAAAGTGAAAGAGAGAGAGAGAGAGAGAGAGAGAGAGTGAGAGAGAGAGAGAGAGAGAGAGAAAGAGAGAGTGAGAGAGATATTTTTCATAATTTTTTGTGATATTTTCTTACTTACAGTTTTTGTTAACAAAAGATGTTCGTTTTCCTTACAATTTAAGTCTATGTACATTCCTTGAACATAGGAACTGGAAGAAACGAACCTCTTTCTGTCTTTTACTGCAATGTTTACCATAAGGTTCTTATTTTCGATCATACTCTCTGATAGTTGTTTTGCATCTGTAAAAGCAAATCTTGTCCGTTTAAATTTTCACAGCAGGGATGCCAATTTTAGACCAACCATCCAGATCGCAAAAGAAAACGTTGAGAACATTTATATTCTTCCGTAAAAAATATTTCGTAATGAAATGCTCCTTGCAGTCCGCCAAAAGGACGAGGCTGAGCATCAGAAGTGGCCAGTTCATTGCTTATTTCTTTTGTGACAAAAAGCGCGAATTAACCGACGATAAAGAAATTGTCCAATTATAACAAGAAATGGTTTTGATGTTAGATTGCTTAATTAAATATTTATTGTATGATTAAGGGCCGAAAACCTTTGATTTCTTATTTTACTGATTATTTATTATAAAACGATTCCTTTCTTATGGTTACATTAGGTTGCAAATATTGAAATAGGTCGAATTATTCTCTTTCCTTCCACACATAAAATACGTAATAATTCAAAAAATCAATAAACTTCAAAAGCTCAACGCAATATGAAGGAAAATCATATATTTGCATTTTTCTAACTAAATATCAATTGACCCTTCTAACTTGACATAATTTTTGTTTGACATGGCTGTTCAGAAAGGAGTCAGTTAAAGACTTTTCAAAAATATTTTCATTGAACTTTCTTCTTACACTGCTGGAGGAAATCGTAACATTTCGGACTTGTCTTATCAGATTTCTTATATCATTTCACGTACTGCTGTGTTTTTGCAGGCCTGACTGATGAACCTATCGTCTCTCTGGTCTGCAGACCTAGGTCAACCCTGGCCTTCTAGTGCAAAGTTTTTCTGAAGCGCCAAAGAACCTTCAAAGAGTGCCTTACACTTAGTCTCCTGGCGACTTCACCCTGGCTGTATCCTTCCTAATAATTTTATGACCCCGACAGTTTCATGCTCATACTAATGCTCAATTTTTCAAATAAATGAAATCAACAAAGGAGAAAGATGAACTCTTTAAGAGTAACAGAATGGAAGGGCTTAACGGTACTTTTTGTGCAAATTGGATTAATAAACAAAGGAACTAAACAAAACATTATTTACTGTTTATTTTGACTAAGATTTTTAATTACAGTTAATTACCTGTAACTAATGTACAAAGATAATGGATTGAATTTTAAACTAAATAAATTGAGCGGTGCATTAAATTGTTAGTTAAATTTTAATCTATCGTTAAACGATTTTTCAGTGTTTTGGTGAATTTTCTTTCAAACCATCATAATTAAATAATTGTTATTAAAGTTTATGATTTTTTGAGTGTAAAATCAACCGCACTGGTCGAGCGGTTAGGGTGTCAAAATTGAAATTGACACAATAGCAATAATTATAATATGAAAAATACCCGTTTTTTACATCACCAAACTGATAGTTGGTCATTAAGTGCTTCTATGGCACGAATTACTTTATTTATAAGCTAGTTTATTTATCAGCTAGTTCTGATCTGTAATTGCTTGTAGTCTGCCTTAAGTGCCAGGCCAACATTTCGGCAATACTCACAAGATTATTCAGAAATCGTGACATGCGGTCTGGTGTGTCGTAGGTTTACAAAAACATTTTCTTTATCGTGCCAACGTTTCGATTTTTATTGAGGTCATCTTCAGGGATTTATAAATATTGTTTAAATTTGGGTGGTGTTTATGACCGTTAGTCGATGATTATTCACAGATGCTGAGATGCGGTCTGGTGTGATGTAGGTTTCAGGAAAACATTTTCTTTATCGTGCCAACGTTTAGATCTTTATTGAGATCATCTTCAGGGCCTGGGATTTACAAACATTGTTTAAATTTAACAAATACGTGTAGGATGTGGAAAAATGTGAATTTATACAATGCAAAAATAATATTTTTTATACTCATTCAAAGTATTTCTACTCACAAGTCTTGCGGGTTCACGGGTCTTCCTTTGAAAATATGAAAAACACATTTTTGAATTTTGACCATTTTAAGTAAATTTCTTGTCTACAATAAAATCAAGATTTCAACCTTATGAAAGACCCCTAAATAGAACAAAACACTCCGCTTTGCCCTATTGACATTGTGCCACACTAGTAGTTCTGGATTTGGATCCCAGCAGAGCATATCGCTTTTTAATTGATGAAACTAAGGGAAAAAAGGAATAAATGGTTTCACCCCTTGACCACACCACCCAATTGGAAGTTGGACAGTAAAGCCTTCTTATGACATGAATTTATTTATTTATAAACGACAAATTTATCAGCTAGATGATTCTAATCTGTAATTGCTTGTAGTCTGCCTTAACGGCGAGCCAGACCAACATTTCTGCAACATTCAGAAGTCTTGCGGGTTCAAGGGTCTGAAAATATGAAAAATACACATTTTTGAATATACTTTTTAAAATCTAGAATCAAAAGACCCCTAAATAGGAAAAATCATTCCTATTTTGACCTATTGACATTGTACCACACTAGTAGTTCTGGATTTGGATCCCAGCAGAGCATATCGCTTTTTAATTGATTATAATATGAAAAAAAGGAATAAGTGATTTGACCCATTGAACACACCACCCAAATGTTAGTTGGACATTAAAACTTCCTATTACATGAATTACTTTATTTATAAACGACAAAATTATCAGCTAGTTGATTCTATTCTGTAATTGCTTTTAGTCTGCCTTAACGGCGCGCCAGACCAACATTTCTGCAACACTCACCAGTCTTGCGGGTTCAAGGATCTCCCATTAAAAATATGTAGTTGTCAGCAAGATGTGCATTAGGAAACAAACACATAATTTAAATTAAACCTGAGGAGGTTGTCACCTGGTAACATAAAGTAAACTGATTGAATTTAACAATAAAGAAGTGAGACGAAACTCAAGAGCCAGACGGATTTCCCAGGAAAAATTGAGCTTGCCCCCCTTCATCGAAACCAGTTTTTTTTCAACAAAATGCAAAATTTTTGGGCCTTCCAGAAGGGCTATCCGAAAAGGTGGATCTACCGCTAGAAGCTCATTGAATGGAGAACTTTTGAGGGAATTCGCAAAGCTCCAGGAGTTTGTAGTTATTAACAGTTAATTCAACATTTAAAAAAATTCCAAATTTCAGCATTTTTGTTTTTTCTGAATTTTTCGTGCAAAATTTTTTCATCAATTCTGCAATGTAAATAGGTTTACTTTCAGCAAATTTAACGTTCTTTCAGGTGGCACAAACCAGATTTTTCTACAGTCAGTAATTCTGAATTTATAAGCAATTTAGTGGATCTATGTCGAAAAATTAAAAAAAAAAAAAAAATCCAAAACCTGAAATTACTTCTTTACTAATGAGATTGGACATGGGTTCATAGAAACTTTTTTGTTGCATATGGTGAGTAGAAACACCTCTTGAAATTGTCGACACTTATCGCCAGTCACCCTGTATATTAGTGCTAATTTTTGGGAAATTTTTTACAAAAACCATAACTGTTAATAATGAAAAAACACATTTTTGAATAGACTTTTTAAAATCTAGAATCACAAAGACCCCTAAATTAATCAGTCTAGAAACCTGGATGATCATTTTAAGTAAATTTCTTGTCTACAATAAAATCAAGATTTCAACATCATGAAAAACCCGTAAATAGAAAAAAATCACTCCGCTTTTGCCCTATTGACATTGTGCCACACTAGTAGTTCTGGATTTGGATCCCAGCAGAGCATATCGCTTTTAAATTGATGAAACTAAGGGAAAAAAGAAATAAGTGGTTTGACTCCAAGGAGTGGGAATCAAGATCCCACCACCCAATATGTAGTTGGACATTAAAGTCTTCCTATGACATGAATTTATTTATTTATACACGACAAATTTACCAGCTAGTTGATTCTAATCTGTAATTACTTGTAGTCTGCCTTAACGGCGCGTCAGACCAACATTTCTGCAACACTCATCAGTCTTGCGGGTTCAAGGGTCTGTAAATATGAAAAAGACATTTTTGATTAGACTTTTTAAAACCAAGAATCACAAAGACCCTAAATAGGAAAAATTACTCCGATTTTGTCCTATTGACATTGTGCCACTTAGCAGTTTTGGGTTTGAATCCCAGCAGAGCACATTGCTTTTCAATTAATTATAATATGAAAAAAAGGCGATAAAGTGGTTTGACCCTTCGATGAAAAAGGATATAATTGGTTGTTGTTCATGGAGGGTCTTGGACGACCTGTGTCGATGTGGATGAAATTTTGGAACATCGTGCGTTGCATATCCTCGATGAAATCAGCGACACTCCTATTCTAATGAACGATAACGCCCGTGGACAGGTCGCACGCATAGTACAAACCTACATTCAACAGCATGGTATGGTAAAAAGGATACTAGGAAGCGGGGTTTGCACTCCGCAGGCACTGCAGCCTTCTGGCTTATTGTACCTTCCTAGTTCCTTAGTTAAGTGCAATAGACTCAATCCTTCGTTTTAGAAGTATCAGACCATTGACTGTCGCTGCTGCAATCTGATTCCCTAAGATTTCTCCGTATATTAGGTTAAATCTCCATTGAGCTGTTGCGAAGTCAAAGATGACATGGGTGGCTGTTTCCTCCTCCTCATTACATAATCTGCAAATGGGATCATCGTTGTATATACCCATGTTGTGTAGATGTTTTCTCAGATGCCAGTGACCGGTTAGTAGTTTGCATTGATGTGCGTATGACCGGCGTGATACCCTTGGGGAAGCGAAGGATCGGACCACCTAGGCTGAGCCTATGGCGTCCCTCGAATGCGCATGGCAGGTGTAGGCTGAACTCGATAGGAGGTTTTTACCGTAGGCGGTGCTCCTCTAGGGGGTGGAGCGAATCCGGAAGTTTCTACGCTAGGGAATACCTAATACTCTGGGAGATAGAGGTGGCCTTCTCTATCTATGGAGCGTGCGGGAGACCGGGCTGATGTATTTCGGCTCAAGTAAGAATAACCCGTGCGCGGCTTACGGTTTGATGCTCAATGCAGACCCGGCCACTTGCAATGGACAAGCGGGGAGGGAGGTTGTCTTGGCCTTTCGGGGCTGAGCTGCCTCTACGCCAATGCTGCGGCAGTAACACTATTCTGTCGTATGCGGAGGTGCGTCAGCTCTCATCTTGAGAATCAAAACGTTCGATAAGGCCGGAAGGCTAGGTGCGGACGTTAAAGATCCTCAGAGTCCTTTTTAGGATGACCGAATAAACTGACCGGTTAGTAGTCCTACCACTCCTCTGAGTTCGGCCCTATCTAATTGCAGCGATGTTTTTGCCAGTCTTGGTCATTCAACAGCATAACATCCGGGCCTTAACATGGCCAGCCGAATCTCCAGACTTGATCCCAATCGAGCATTTATGGGATAACCTCAAAAAACGATTAAGAGCTCGTCCATCTTGATACACTCCACGACCTTGAAAGGACTCTTCGTGAAGAATGGGCTAACCTCCAGCAAAGAGACATTTCCAGACTGGCAGAAAGTATGCCGAGCCGCCTTCGAGATGTAATTAAGGCAAGAGGAGAAATACGCAATATAGAAATGTTAACTAAAAATCTAATTAAAACAAATTTTATCTGTCCGTTTTTTTTTCATTTTTATTTTTCATTTTTCATTTTCTTTAGCAATTTACATTTTTTTAAAGTTTTTAGATAAAGACTCAATTATTAAACGTGAAACTTTTATTAATATATACAAATCAAGTTATATTACAAGTGGGCAGAATTTTTAGCCTGTCATTGCATTTTTAATCCTCATAATAAAATGTGTGCATGTATTAACAGATGTAACAGGTTGTCAGAATTGTTCGTATACATAGCCTGGTTTCTAAATTAAATCTCTATGAGATTTTAACGCGCCGGACCTTTATTATTTGAACCTTAACGGTTCGTTGTCGTATGTGAATTAGCAATTCTACGCCAAGTACGAAAATGGAAAAGACGACTCCTGCCAGGTAGATGCCCACGGCGATGACAACAGCTTCCAAAGTCACGTGCAGGAAGGTGATACTTCCGTAACAAGAGGGTGACATGGGGAACCAAAACCTCTTCGTTCTGTACGACAGGCCGTTCTCCTTGAGCCAGATAATACTGAAGAAAGAAAAAACAAGAATAATTTGACATAAAAGAAGAATAAAAGCACTACCACCCTCTGTTAAACAGTTCCTTGTTTGTAGAATTTCTGCCGACCATCCAACCGATGTGAAACGGATCTCTTGTTTCTATTTCGACGATTTCGCATTTTTCCGAATCGGAGAATTTCCGAGATATGTCCCAGTACGCGCCGAAGTCGTCGGTGCAGAACGCGAACCGTTTAGTCCTCATCATTTCTAATCCGGCATCGGCCGACATGACGCGACTTCTCTTTTCCAGCTGAGCTCGGGTCTCGGGTTTAAAGAAAAACGCCCAGCTCTGAGACAAAAAAAGGATCATGATTTACATATAAACTTTCATGGTTTTATGCTCACATTTCTATTCCCCGATAGATAATTAGCGTCTAAAATGCCTAATTCGAGCGAAGGATTTTTTACAAGCTGCTCGAGGGTCGGTACGGGGATCGGAACTGGTGTCAGGAGTCCGTGCATTATAGCAGCATTGTAGAATGTACTCACAAATAGTCCAAACAGTAGTAAAGCTATGCTCAAAATTCTCATCGAACATGTATTAGGAGTTTTCATTAATCCTGGAAAAGTTTTACTTCAATAAAGTAAATACATGTCAAAGACTGGAAAAGTTGCCTTGAAGTGCCATGATCCCTACGACGAAAATGAACCCAACGCCAGTTTCCGATGAATTTCCTTTACTCAATGATTTTCTGATGTATGAAATCGTTTCGTAAAAAACTACGAACAGCCCCATCGTAATGAACGTGTAAATCCAAGCCTCGGTGGAAAACGGCAGCATCAGAGCGTTGTAACTTCCCAAATATTTCTTCTGACGAAACATAAACACTATCCTGAAATATATCGTCTGAAAGGTCGAGTTTTGAAACTTTTACTCCAATTTTTATGAAAACCTCAACGTCGACAAAGAAACCAAGAATTTGACCACTTTCCCTCTGTCGTTCCTCAACTGTAATGGAGCTATAGAAACCTCTGCTTTGCCCTGAGACACTTCCCCGACCATCCCGTTCCAACTGCCATTACTGATTTGGTTGCCATACGAGGCAGATCTGAGAATGAATGTTCTAGAACAAAAAAACCCATTTATAAAAGAAACCAAATACCTCTTGATCTAAAATAAAATATTTGAATTTTTTTTACGAGGATTCACAACAGCAGAGGTTACAACAACCCTCGGAGTGGCGGTGTTTTTGAAAAAAAGCTCATGTCGGGTTCGAATGCCGGGCCGCTGGATTCGAACCCGGGACCTTTACCTTACAGTGATGGGCGCCGTTTCAAAGCCTAAACCGTTGCGGTCACGAACACCCCCAATATTTAAATTGAAATAATCCCAATATTGCCAGATCTGATTATTTTCATTGGAAAATTCCTTAATATTAAGATAAATTACTTGAAATTTAACAATTTCTGCAATTGTTGATGATACATGAAATGCTCCCTGTTGTATAACTCCGCTCGTGGGTAGTAAGTGGGGTCGTTATACTGGCGAGTGGTCTGGTAGTCGTTGTCTATTTTCACATCTGTATACTAAAAAAGAATGTTTGGATTTTAAAAGATTCCAGTGCCATTTATTTTAATTTAAAACCACTTACAAATGCAGCGGTTAGAGTGATACCTTCTAAATCGTTTTTTCTCTTTTGTTCCAAACGAAAATCCGACCTGCTCAAAACGCCGCAGTCGTACGCCTGAAGACTGTACTGTGGAGCGGTTTTGTAAACATCGTACAGAGAACCGTTCGCAAGTCGGAGGACGACATCAGAGCTGATTCCAAGAGGGAGAGACTTAAGATTTTTTAGAATGTCAATGCTTTCAGCAAACAGCAACCAGACAGCACTGATATTGAAGGTGTTCACGTCCTAAAACGTCATGAACTGTATAGGCTCATTCATCTAAGAGTAATCAAAAAAACATCTCTTTCATAATTTTTTAAAATTTGTTTGTATTACAGGGATTCAATACAGCAGAAGTCATAATAAACTCCAGAATTTGTCCGTTTTGGAAATAATTTAGGTTCGAATTGAGGGACTGAGATTCGAATCGGGAATTTTACAGCGTTGAGTCGCTGTCTTTCACCAGAGAGAGGAAGAGGGAGAGAGAGAGAGGGGGAGGGAGAGGAAGAGAGAGAGAAAGAGAGAGAGAGAGAGAGAGAGAGAGAGAGAGGGAAAGAGAGAGAGAGAGAAGTAGAGAGAGAGAGAGAGAGAGAGAGAGAGAGGGAGAGGAAGAGAGAGAGAGAGGGGGAGTCGTTTCGCAACTTTTTTGATTACGTATTTTCTTTATTAGGTTTTTTGTTAAGAAAAGATATTCATTTTATTAGTGCAATATGGGGAAAAAGTGTGTGTGTGTGTGAGAGAGAGAGAGAGAGAGAGAGAGAGAGAGAGAGAGAGAGAGAGAACGA